ACCCCCTGCTTCAACACCTCTGTGTTCTCCAAGCAGTCCGTTTGGTCGATGGAAAGACAGACTGCAACTCCCATGCATGGCCTCTGCCATCACGTTGTAGGGTTTGCACCGATTCTGTTCTCCTTAGCTTCCTTGGTAGCAACGTTCGCTTACTCGGCCTTGTCCTCTGACTTGCCGGGCTCCCTTAAGCGAATATGAGCTCTGGAGCAGTCTAACTCTCCAGCTGCTTCGATCATACCTCTGCATGATCAAGTTCCTCCCATGGAACTCACTGGTACTTGCATTCGAACTTTTCACTTGGTGGAACCCAGCCCCCATATGCTGATGATCAAGGTTTTCATCCGATGCAAAATTCGATGCACGCACGGGAGACCCGCCTCTGCGGTACCATGGCCTTCACTCCTTGAATCCATAGCCCTTCTTGCCGTCGTGTTGTTCACTGAAGTGGAGCTCCCAGTAGCTCCCGATCATACCTCCATATGATCTAGTCCCTCCCGGGACTGAGTCGTGTGTATCGCATTGCCACGAACTGTTCCACCACGATCCGCTACACCATGTCGCCTCCTGGTGACATCTCCATTGCATTCTAATCCTTGTGGAATAAACTCGAATTGTGAACCCTCCACCTTCGATTTTGTTCGCTCCTTTGGCAATCGACCTTCATCCACCCACTTTTGGGTCACACCTAGATGAAGCACCGCTCTAGGACAGTCCGTCGCCTAGTAGCTCCCGAAGTCCACCGACTTCACTGTAATTTGTGAACCATTGTCTGGATCCTGGGCCTCTGCCCCTACCAGCACAATCTCCGCTGCGCACTGCTTCCTTCATAGCAACTCAAATGGCAACACTGTGGCATATTCTTCAAGAGTACCCGCCTCTGTGTCCTCTTGCCCCGTGCTAAGGCCTTTTGAACCCAACTTCGCCTCCGCAAATTGAGTCGCCTTAGTTCCTCCATCAAATGCTCCTCCGAGATAAGGTGCATGTGCCCAGAAGCTCCCTTCGTCTTTGGCACCATGCAAGAAGAGTTTGCTTCGTTAGAAAGAAGGACCCATGGAACAACATGATCATACTCTTGCCTCTGCAAGAGTTCATGTCCTTGACCTCTGTCTAAGAAAAGCAGTGTGCCTCTGCTCCATGTTCTAACTTCTATGCTGGCTCCCTTCATGCGGCTTGGGTACTTCGCCAAGTTACACCCAAGTTCCTCCGCTCCTCGTTTTTGCATTGAGACGATGGTGGCCCTCACGCCCACCATTCCACGGGTCAGCCCTCCCTTGAGTTCGATCTCCACATTGACTCCAAGTGTGCCTTCATTTAAGTTGCTTTGGGTCGCTCCCCCACTTGATCTCGCAATGCATCCACCAATGCATTCTCTCAAGCGAGATCATGCGATGACTCCTCGCCGCTTGCTCAGTCCATCGAGCTTCGTGGAGTTGTTGTTTGTTGAGGTACTCCTCCTCAACATGTGAGGTCCGTCTCACATGATTCTCCCTCTGGAGAGCCGGAACTTATCCCTCCTGGATAACTATCCCGTTGGAGCAACATCTCTCTTCGTTTGGGAGACCATTATCCCCTTGGACTACTCCGATCTGCTGAACAAACTATGCATTGTTCTGCCTCCTGCAAACGCACTTGCTAGATTGCGACTCCCCGTCAATACAGACCCTGCTGCACCCCTCAAGGCCTAGTAACATGCTGGACTCGTTGCACACTTCAGCCTCCTACGGACGTATCCTTCACATGCAGAAGAGAAAGTTTCAATGCTCTATGGCGCCGAGTTTCGGTCGCATTGGGATGGCCACGAACATTCCATCGTCCGCATACAAGCCCATGCATGAGTACCAAATTCTTCGAGTTAGCAATTCCCCTCACCTCTGTGAGCTTTGCATAACTCTTTTGGTCGTTGAGCAACTCATTCCACCTTGGATGGTCTCATCCTTTACCAAGCGCCTCGCTTGCCTTGAGCACCATCAAGTATAGTTGTCAATGTTGAGCAGTAGCTCAAACTCAACCATCCCAACCTTTGTGCGCTCCACATTCTTCCAAGCTTGTCTATTCTCGTGGTGCCTCTTGCGCGAAGGGTTGGCCATTCCTCTGAATGCCAATCTCAGATGCCCGCTCCTCCGAGCGACTCCTTTTCCCTACATCTCCATGCCCGCTTTCCCCCAAACGGTCGCGCGTGTGCTGACTGCCCTCAACGCAGCCCCGCTAGGTCCCCCACGTTTGCATGCTAAGTGTTTCTATGAGTGCTTGTCCCGCTTTGATACCATCTGTCACAGACTTAGCTGGTTTTGCCTAAGTCGTACGACACCCTTGCATGTCCGTCCGCAAAGGTCAACCTCCCCGAAGACTCCCATTGTCCCTTAGGACCAACAAGAGAGAGAACGGGCTAGAGAGAAGGCTCAATCAGGATCCACAAGCAAACATCTCCGAAAAACACTTCATAGACAATGCAAATTACAAACAGACTTTACAAGCTCTGAATAGTGGCACAACAAAGGGTAAAATGGTCCATTACAGACCGAAGATCTCTCGCACGTGTACACATGACACAACCTTTATTTACAAGCCTAAAGAGGCCACCAACCCAACTAAAATGGGACTATTAAGCCTTCGGCCGCCCCTTTACATGTTGTACAAGGCATGAACATGCCAAAAGATACGGACATACATAAGCATTACATCAAACACTTTGTTTAGAAGTTTGTTCGTGACAGTTCGCACCCGAAATACAAGATCAAGTGATTCCACCACACTTCCGGCTCCCATCCCTGGACGCCTATGACGGCGCCGCTGACCCCGCGGATCACGTGGCCGTGTTTCGCGCCCAAATGGCGCTATATGGGACTTCTGACGCCTTAATGTGCAAGGCGTTCCCAACGACCCTAAGGGGACCGGCCCGCGCATGGTACAGCGGCCTGAAGACCGGGACCATCTCTTCCTTCGACCAGCTCGCTCGAGACTTCAAGCTCAACTTCCTGGCCTATGCCCGTCCGAAGCCGTCCGTGGCGTTGCTCCTCGGACTCCACCAAAGGGAGGACGAGCCCCTCTCCCACTTCGTAAACCATTTTACGACGCAGATCCGAGGACTCTCAAACGCTCACCCTTCTCTATTGATGCAGGCGTTCATGATAGGCCTGCGGCCCTCCAGGTTCTTCTGGTCTCTAGTGGAGCGGCCCCCCACGACGGTACTCGAGATGCTCCAGCGGGCGAGCCAGTTCGTCGCCGCAGCGACATGGATGGCCGGGAAGCGCGAAGAGCACAAGAGGGTCAAGACGGAGCCGCCCCGGCAGCAGCAACCCGCTGCGTCTCGGCATAGGTTAGATAGATCCGACCCGCCGACATCGAGGCCCCCTCTCCCAGCCTTGAACTCGTCCCGAACGGAAATATTCCTCCACATAAGGGAAAAGGGACTGCTCAAAGAACCTTACCCGATGAGGAATCCGCGGACGCTGGCGGACCAATCGAAGTACTACCGCTTCCACCGGCAACATGGGCATGACTCTGAATAGTGTCGGGAGCTAAAGAGGCAGATCGAGGAGCTCATTCGTAGGGGACACCTCGGTCAGTACCTCCGATCGGACAAGGAACTTTCACCACGCCCGGAGGGTCCCATTGAACGACACATCGACGTAATAGCTGGCGGCCCCGCATCTGGGGGGGATTCTATGACTAGAAGAAAGGCGTACGCCAGAGCCGCTCCGGCCGAAGCTCCTAGGCACGGGCCCGAGCCTAACATCACCTTCCCGGCCGAGGCATCCGAACAAACCGAGCACGACGACGCGCTCGTGATATCGGCCAGAATAGCCAATGCGTAAGTAAGAAGGATCATGGTCGATACCGGGAGCTCGGCCGACATACTTTACTTTGACGCCTTCCAAAAGCTCGGCTTATCCGGAGATAACATGAAGCCGATGTTCTCGGCACTCACCGGATTCACTGGTGATTCAATCTCACCGTTGGGGGCGATCACTTTACCATTGACCCTGGGAGCCCCGCCGAGGTCAAAGACGGTGATGACCACCTTCCTGGTAATCGACCTTCCCGCTGCATATAACGCCATTCTCGGCCGGCCGACCCTCAACAAAATCAGAGCTGTCGTCTCGACCTACTACCAAACTGTGAAGTTCCCGACCCATGTCGGGACCGGAGAGGTCGTAGGAAGTCCCCGAGAATCCAGGCGCTACTACCTAGCCGCCGTTTCGCTACCCAAGAGGGCCAGGATCGAACCACCGTTGGCGGACCCCCGGGAGGCAAAGAAGCCAGCCTCCCATCCTGAGCCGAGGGAGTCCACCATCGACGTGCCGCTGCTAGAAGATCGGCCGGAGCAGATGGTTAGGATCGGGTCAGGGCTACCCGAGCAAGAATGAAGACAGCTCGTCGGCCTCCTACAGAAGAATGCCGACGTCTTCGCTTGGTCGCCCTCTGACATGACGGGCGTCGACCCGGAGGTAGCGCAGCATCACCTCAACATTTCACCCGACGCCCGCCCGGTAAAACAAAAACCTAGACGACAGGCTCCTGATCGGCAGCTGGCCATATGGGAAGAAGTAGGCCGACTTCTGGCGGCGGACTTCATAAAAGAAGCCAGATACCCACAATGGCTATCCAATGTAGTCCTCGTCAAGAAAGCTAATGGAAGCTGGAGGATGTGCGTTGATTACACTAGTCTTAACAATGCATGCCCGAAGGATTGCTATCCCCTTCCAAAAATAGACCAGTTGGTCGACGCCACGGCCGGACACGCCCTCCTCTCGTTCATGGACGCCTTCTCGGGATACAACCAGATCAGAATGGCACCCGAATACCAAGAGCATACGGTCTTCCTCACCGATCAGGGGGTCTACTTCTACAAGGTCATGCCCTTCAGATTGAAGAACGCCGGGGCTACATACCAGAGAACGGTAAACAAGATGTTCGCCCACCAGATCGGGCGGAACATGAAAGTTTACGTCGATGACATGATTGTCAAAAGCCAAGAGGCGGGAGCCCACTTGGCCGATCTGGCTGAGACGTTCGCCACGCTACGCAAATACGCTGTGCAAATTCACCTCGGTGAGCTCCTCAAATGGGCGGTGGAGCTCGGCGAGCATGACATACAATACGTGCCCAGGACTGCTTTCAAAGCCCAGTCCGTGGCCGACTTCATCGCAGAATTAACCCAGATCGGGGACGAGGATCTCGAACAACCTCCCGAGGCATGGGTCCTGCACGTCGATGGATCGGCCAACTCAAAAGGTGCCGGCGCGGGGCTGGTGTTGCAAGCTCCTGACGGGCGGTCGTTCGAACGTTCCCTCCGCTTCGGGTTCCAGGCCACTAACAACGAGGCGGAATACGAGGCGCTCCTAGCAAGACTCAGGCTGGCCCTCGAGATGCAGGTGGTCACCATCCGCGTCCTCACTGACTCGCAGCTGGTAGCCGAGCAACTCAACGGGGGATACGAGGCTCGGGACCCGATCATGGCCAAGTACCTGGCACAGGTAAAGAACCTGACCGCCAAGTTCCCTCATTTTGCATTGTCTAGTATCCCGAAGGGAGAGAATGGGCGAGCCGACACGCTAGCTAAGCTGGCATCAAAGCCGGCCCCAGAAGCTGGGCCCGAAGTCGAGGAGCTCCCTGCCCGTGCCATCGAAGTCGCGACGGCAACCTCGAGCGGCGCGCCTACCACCTGGGTACAAGAATTGTTGCGCTTCAAACGGGACGGGACTCTTCCGCCCGACGAAGCGGCGGCTCGGCGCCTGCGTCGAACGCACGCGTGGTATACCGAGGTGAGTGGACGGCTTTACAAGCGATCTTTCACATACCCCCTCCTACGATGCTTGGAGCCCGACGAAGCTCGGATGGTTCTGGCCGAGGTCCATGACGGAATCTGCGGGGAACACATCGGCGGGCGAACCCTGGCATACAAAATACTTCGCCAAGGTCTCCCTCGAACCAACCCTTGCCGCGGCCGGCGAATGGGATGATGCGGCCGACGAAGTCTTCCTCCCGCGCACGGCAGTGAGGTTCACCATCTCTGTGCGAAAAAACCGAACTCAGTCAGAACGCCGAAAAACATGAGGACCCGCCACTACCCTCTTTAAGGCATACCTCGAGGCACCGGGCTAAGACCCGCCTCGACCAACCACTCCTCGGACATACTCCGGATGGCTTTTGAGGATGGGAGGATTTCTTTAAGCCTCTGGAGCTCTCGGCGCTCCACGTCGTCCAAAGCCGGGGTTGCATTGTCTATCGTGCGCGCCGCCCACCGGACCCCGAACCCCCAGTCCTCTGAGCGGCTGATGAAAAAGAAACGCTCCTTCCATCCCTTATTACTAGAGGGAGCCCCGCTAACTCGAAAGCCCGCTCGGGCGGACATATAGTAGCCCCCCGACCCCTTGGAAAGGCGAAAGCAAGAAAGAAAGAGAGACAGGGTCGGGGCGATATTGGCATAATGACATTCCCCCAGGAACGCCACGATGTAGCGTCAGGAGTTGGGCGCCATCTGAGACGGTGAGATGCGCCACCGTGAAATACAAGAGGTTATGAGGGGGTGCAGGGGGAGGCGCAGCCCGGCCTCAAAAGCATCAATGGTGAGGGCAAAACCCCTCGGAATTGGGTCGTACGACCGTTGGCCCGGTTCAGGTGCCAGGAGAACAAACTCCTCCAGGATGCTGTAGAGATCCCGAAGGCGACTAAGCAACGACTCGCTCACAATTGAGTCATGGTCGTGTGGCCACATCAGGGCTTCGAGGGCCCGGGCTGCTTTTTCGTCGGATGACGAACTTGGATTCGACACTACCACCATTCTTCCGGCTCTAGCCGAAGAAGAGGAAGAAGAGAAGGAGGAAGAAGACACCATCCTCACTGACCTTTAGTAAGAAGAGGAGAACGATCGATGCAAACGAAATAGTGGAGTCCGAAGCAGCGGAGTCGGAATAGATAAGGAGACCCTCAGGGGGCTTGCCCCACGCTACTTATAAACATGCCACATCCTACCAAAACAGCGACCCTTCCTCTCCGGAAGTGTGCTGCGAAGACGCAAACGTCACCTCGCCATAAATATAGCCTGACGTGGCAGCTAACGGCAGCGCGATGCAAAGTACGGAGGCGCTAATCATATCAGCCTCGAAAGCTGGCGACTCCCGAAAGGGGTGGCCCTTTGACCTTCCCTAGGGAAAAAGCAACCTGGCCGCCCGCGCCCGCGGTTGAACGATCAATAGCTGACCAAAACAAAGTTGTTCCTCGGCTACATGATGCCCGAGGCCACACCCTCGGCCACATAATGCCCGAGACCACCTCCTCGGCCGCGTAACGCCCGAGGCCACTTCCTCGGCCGCATAATGCCCGAGGCCACCTCCTCGGCCGCATAACGCCCGAGGCCACCTCCTCGGCCGCATAATGCCCGAGGCCACCTCCTCGGCCGCGTAATGCCCGAGGCCACCTCCTCGACCGCATAACGCCCGAGGCCACTTCCTCGGCCGCATAATGCCCGAGGCCACTTGAGCCTGTTGTAAGGGAGGAGCGAGATCTTTTGTAAAAGAAAGGTGCGAAAGTTCTCTCCTGAGCCTGTTGAAAGGAGAAAGGGTTATAACAAGGGTAGTTGATCTTTGCCCATTAAAAAGTGTAGAGAAATCTAGGGGTGACATCGCATGCGCAGTGGAAGAATAGAAAATAAAAAAACCCAAATTTCTCAAAAAAGTGTTCGTCATTGTACGAAGATTGGTGCGCAAAACTCACGAAATTGAAAACCACATGTGAGATAGTATTTTACCTAAGGAGATTATATATCCCTTAAATCCTATAGACCTTGTAGGGAAATCTTGGGGGGTGACATCACATGCGTAGCGGAAGAATAGAAAACAAAACCCTCAATTTCCCAAAGATATGTTCATCGTTGTGCAAAGATTGGTGCGCAAAAATCCGCGTAATTTAAAACTGTATAAATGAAAGATTGTATTACCTAGGGAATTCATATATTCCTGAATCTCTGTAGATCTCTAGGAGAGGGTGAATGAGGTCAAACGTTCTCCTCTCTAGTGGTGATTCACATAGTAAGACTATGACGATACTCCTGAAAACTGATAGAACCCTAGAGAAATTCTATATAGATTGATCTTTGAGGGGGATCAACCCTTGGAACGCTATAGGGGTTCCACCCTCCTAGAAGTTGGTCAAATGACTACAATTGTAGATAGATCTTATTCTCGAAGAGATGGAGGTTACATGATTATATAGGGCTCCAAACCCTAGCCCTAGGGGTTGCTTCTTAAGTGAGTTCTCCCTTTTGCCCTCAACCCTAGTTGACTAGTCCAGTAAAAGGGGGGTAGTGGCCAGGAAGCCCAAAGGCCCAAATATAAATCATAGCCACTCTTCTATATAGGATAGAGACGGCTAGGTGGGGTTTATTATAATTTCACAGGTTTTTTGTTAGCTGCTTCTTGGTTGAGTAGGACCCAACTCTGCCAGGGTCCTATCAAGCTTGTCCTCTTCAAATTAGCCTTGTCCTTGAGGTTCCATGAATTTAAGGAAC